AGAAACGATAAAAGATATGACATAGACGTATATAGAAATGATGCGTTAACGCAAATAGTGTGATGGCACACCCAAAAGAATATCATTAATTTGAGCAATGAACTTCTTTTTGGACCTTCTAATGAAATTTGTTCTCATGATTAAGGCTTGATGTCCATTTTGTGCACCAACCTCGCAAACAAAACTATAAATCTTACTCTGATCGGTGGAGGAGTGAAATGTGCAACCGATTCAGGCTCTCCTTCCGAGTTAAAACGAATTCGTTGAGGAGAATCGTACACGCCCTGTTGTAAAAAATTTTATGCGAAAATATTCTAAAGCCAGTTAAAATTCTCCTACTCCCAAAGGCCCCAAAGAAATATGTTTGCGCTTAGGCCCACTAACCTTCTGTTCAGCATGATGCAATCGCATCATCGTTATTCGATAGTGATTCTTTACATGTTCTGGGTCGAACTCGATCCTTCCATAAGGATTCAAACATCTCTCTGATGTACATGAGCACGGGTGAGATCTTCCAAACTCATCTGGACCATCCACCTTAAAAGAATTGATAGCAAAAGAAGATGTTAATAGTACAAAAAGACATCTTACCTGACAGCCAATGTTATCCAAAGCGCATTGACATGTGTTTGGTTCACACATTCCCTCACACTGACATCCACACATGATGCGTGATTGTCGGATAGATTCCAGAGTTTCGGCGCTTCCACCCTTAAACAAAAAAATGGGAACGTTGAAGTTAATCCCCTCATAGAAGAGAAAAACGGTAAACGGCACCCCAGCCAACGGCCGGATCGCAATATAGCGTCGGGTGGGGCAACTAGGGCAACTTATTTACAGCTGCATCGATCTCTTTTTTGTATAAAACAGGGATCTTACCTGTATTCACAAAAGAATGCATGATAGTAGTACTGATTAATGAGTCATTTAGGAAATTAAAATAGAAATTGCAGATAATGAGTAACAAAAAGATGTTTCCTTAGACGATCTGGAGTGAAGTAGGTATTCCGGCACACACTTCAATTCTTCTTTCCCATGATTTTTTATTCTCTTCACTGCATTTTTCACTCCGCGATCATTTTTTTCGGAGCAAACATGTTCCTCACGTAAGTGAGCATACAAGTGCTTGCAAAGGGACCTTTTTTGCAAATGTGACAATCCGCCTTTG